ATACTGTGGGTGCTAAATCATCGCTCCTTTTCGAGTGGATTCTGTCGGGTATATTCGACTAAAAGCGCTCGGAAGGGTCGAAATCATTGAATATCATAATTGGATGTGATTCTGATGAGGTTTGGACTGATTGGAGCGGTTATTGTTAGTGGGCCGATTTCCGTTCTTATGCGGACTTCACCTTTGTAAATAAATGTAAATAAAACTGTGTTGCCTCGGTTGGATTGGCAATTTTATTTAACTTGTATCAAGTTAGCGATAAAACACGTATTCAACCATTGGGTAAACGAAAAACAAAAGGACGCTCCAAGAAAGTTAGCAAAGCTTTAAATTTGTAAATAAATGTAAATAAAACTGTGAAAATATTGTCTTTGTTAAAATTTATATATTTATATGTATAAAAATGTGATGCTGGAAAATTTGGTGATCAAAAGTATCTTTCTTTGGTGATCATTTGTATCTAAAGGCGTTTGGTGATCAAAAGTATCTTTCTTTGGTGATCATTTGTATCTAAAGGCGTTTGGTGATCAAAAGTATCTTTCTTTGGTGATCATTTGTATCTAAAGGCGTTTGGTGATCAAAAGTATCTTTTTTTGGTGATCAAAAGTGCATTTACTCTATTTTCTACTTCTCAATCCGACGGCATTTCAATAGCTTTTCATTTGAAACTATACTCTACGCTATGCTTTTCCTGATTCTTACTATTGAAGTAGACCAAACATGGCAGAAATACAAAGAGTTCAACAATAGTAATCAATAAAAACGTGGATGGTTTCTTCGCTCTTTAACTTGGAGAGATCGCCGTGATATTAGTGGTACTCATAAATTTTACACCCACGAGTTAAAGTCCGATAGAGGAACATTTTCCATTTCTCGGAAGACATCTGGCACCTCCGAATCACACCATGTAGTGCTAGTGACCAATCATCTTCTCTTGAAGGAATAGTTCATTTTGCAGTCGTGCCTGAACTATGGATTATCGCATTCGGAATTTTCAGTTTACTTGTAAGCTCCTCGTAAAACACTGCTACAACAGTTTATTGCAAGAAAAGAACGATGGAAAATTAATTAATTCTACAGCCCAGCTAATGAGTATCCCACCAGTGTCTTTGCATTTTACACTCAAGTTTGGTATGAGCTCTGTTCTACATGTCACAAGAAACAACTTAGAGTTATATTTCACTCAAATAAAAGATGCTCTGAGTCTTCACGTGATAATATTCTCAAGGCAAATGATACTCCATGAATACGATTAGTTTAGTAGGATTAGATGCACTGTGATATTCAATGACGATTTCGTGGATGTAGGTGTAAGTGCATGTAGTTAATCCTGACGAATAGAGACAAAACTAGGTCTCTCGAGTTGTCAATTCTACCGCGTGAGAATTTGGCAACTACTGTTTATTTGACAGGACTATCTCTATTCATAGCCAGATATTTTACGATTAGTTTAACGAAAAATTCTCGCTATGAGAGAGTGCTTCTCCCAAAAAATAGTCTGAGCAGATGTTCTGCACCACCTCGGCAATGTTCAGCAAAAATGTCGAGAGAATAGAAAAATAGTTACATTCACTAGCTAATTCAAAATCCACAGCAATCAGCAGTAACGCACCCGTCAGATAAACCTACTTGCCAAGGGCATTTGCGATGTGAGTGCAGTGCTCGTTTAGATTGGAATCATTGCCTCTGTTGTCACTGCAGCTGTTGTTTGAGCTAAAAAACACTTGCAATAATATATCCACCTATTCAGCTTATCAGCGTCTTGGTGCCCGCCACAAACACTCCAAAACATGCCGTATGGCCATTTTTGGATTCGCTGGTTATAAGTGTCGGCGATGTACATTGTCTGATCGAAACCGACAAATATGCCATATGGATAACAGAGCGGAGCAGGTGCAGCTCCAGCAACACCAATTCCAGCCTCACAACCGGCTCGTTCCACTGGATGAGTTCGGAAAACTCATCACTCGGTGATTGACCTGATCACTTACATATATGTAGCCATAGCTGTCGACATACAGTTCGTAGCCAAAGCCGAAAGTTGTACTAATTGTACTATTTGAATCGTTAACTGTGTTGTACTTTGCATCTTATAACCTTTCATGTCGATGGATTGCATGAAATAATTTTTCAGGGAAAACGCTAAAGTTCTGGTCGAAATCATCGAGCTATTGTGGAAAAGGGCTGAAGTTCCTGTGGAAAAGCATCGAGTTCTACAGGTAAAACGCTGAAGTTCATGTGAATTATTTTCGATTTTTCGACACGAAAATAAAGTTGCAAAAAATGAAAAGCTACATATTCTTGATCTGATTGAAAAGCTCTATCGAATGACTTTATGAGAAATTTGCCCCGATAATGCATGCACTTCGGAACTTGACGCATGTTAGATAATGAGTAACATTGGTTCCAAATTTTGATTTATTATTCGTTTTGCTTCTTTAAAATCGTTAACCGCTTTGTCAATTTCTCGTTCATTTTTCTCACAATCTCTGCCATGTTCAGCAAGCCGTGCATATCCTCGATTATAAAACGCATTTGCTTGAAAGTGTTCACAGGTAGGCATACACCAGTTAAAAACTAGCGACGGGGAATTCGCGAAAATTCCTATACATCATTTATCAAGACTCGTTCAGAGCGGCGGAATGTCTCATTTTGTAGAAAAGTGTTTGCTGGGTAAAATGCATTTGGTATAAGTAGGTATTCCAAAGTTCTTTCTAACAAAACTTAGAGCATTCTAAAACCCCCTAATTTCTAGAAAAAAAAACAGTTCGAACATTTCTTTTCGTGATTTGGTGCATTTTACATTGTTACAGAAGCAAAAAATTTTCTCCTATAGGAAAATGTAAATAGTGTCAGGTTAGAATACACTATAAAAACAAAAGTTCTTTCTTTCCTTGATATATGTTATTGATATATTGATAAAACAATAATCTCTTTAAACATAACGCTTAATTGTCTTTGAAGAAGTAATTAAATGCATGAGAAACGAAAGCGAAGTTTCTGTATACAAATTATTATGAAATAAAATGTTGTATAACAACAGAATACAAGAATAGTCTCGAAATAGAGAAACAGAGGAATAGCGCCCACCCAACTGGAATATATTTTGAAACATTCTTTAACAGCAGGTGAGTTCACACTAATTTTTGGCTAGTTCATAAATCAAAGTATATTTTACACGATTCAAATCAACTATGCACATCTAAATTCTACAAAGAAATAAAGAAAATAAAGAGCTTTTTGTTGTTTAAATACTACAAGAAATCACAACACAACGAAATTCGAGGCCACAATATATGCATTAAAGAAGAAAACTGATAGAGGTACAAAAAAACAGTGATAACGTTTTATTTTCATTTTCAGGTCGACGAATCCTACGATAGAATTCTAAACCTATGTTTGTGACTGATTGAATTAATTTCTAAAGAACATTGAAAACAATTATCGAAGAATAAAACCGTTTTTCATAGGATCTTTGGGATCAATTACAAATGTATTCATTCCTGTAATATGGGCCGTCCCCTCTACTTGTGGTATTACAGCAGAATATGGGCCATAGTTAACTTCTTCACTGACGGAACAAATGAAAACACTTTTAGTAATACTTTCTATCCTCATTTTTTCTCTTAAACTAATTTCTTTCCTGGCATAATGAATTGCCATACGCCCTGAAACTCCGGATCCCGTGGGTGAACGATCTACTTCCCCTTCTGCAAAAACACAAACATTCCTACTATCAATACCTTCAGTTACTGGATTGCCAATAAATATGACTCCGTATAAAAAACTTAAATCACTCTCATATGGGTGCACTATTTCTTTATCTTTAATCATTACAGCATGTTTAATTTTCATTCCATTTTCAATAATCGTACGGTAATTTTCACTAGTTAAATCGAGTTGAAATTGATTTTTACGAATATCCACATAAGCATAAAATGCACCACCATAGGCCAAATCATAAATTACTTCACCTAATCCTTCCACATTAACTGTTCTATCTAAACCTATTACAAATGATGGTACACAAGAAAAACGAACATCTGTAATTTTCTCGTTTTCTACATTCACATAAGAAATAATACGTCCACAAGGTGCATCAATTTTTATTACATTGTCACCTTCTTTTACATTAATCCATTTCATCTCTGCAGCTAATGTGGAAATAGCAATAATGGCATGGCCACACATAGTACTGTACCCTTTAATTAAAATGAAACACAATGTTTATTAAAGAATTCGATGTTTTTTATGTACCTTCATTATGCATAAATATTATACCAAAGTCACCATCATCATCATTTGGAGGCAGTAAGATGCATCCGTACATATCTGCATGTCCACGTGGTTCAAACATCAAAGTAGTACGCAAATAATCGTAATTTTCTTTGATACATCTGCGGTATTCCAATACTGAACTTCCTTTTAATGAAGGAAATCCATCAACAATAACACGTAATGGTTCACCGCCTGTGTGCATATCAATTGTTTTTATTTCCATCCAGTCTTTCGGTGCTTTAAATATGATATTACCTAATATGTTTTTATACGTAGTATTTGCCATGGTAGTTTTTATTTTCAAATAAAACGTTTGTCGTGTTTTTGAACAAGAGTAGTTTGATACTTTTAACAGTTGTTGAATGCTGTTATTGTTGCTGACGAAACGTTTCCGATCTAAAACTGGAATGAATTCAAGAAACATTGAGCATCTCTGTATCAATACTGTGTTATCTCGATTGTATACACGTGTGTCGTGAATAAAAAGTATAGAATAAAAGGAAAGTGCCACCTTTATGAGATAAAAATTAGTTTTACTTTTCGAATGCGTTCTTTATACTCATGTGTCAAAAGCTCACCTTTCTGAAAGAAATGATCTACTTTTATCTCAAATAAGAAGGCAAAATAAGCAAGCAAAAGGTAACAAAACTTTGAACTAAATTATTGCACTTTTAAAAGCATTTTCTCTTCCCTCGGTTGAAAAATGGATGATTTTAGGATTTTCAATGAGTCGTCCGTCTAGTATCTACTAAACAATAAATTTTTAGTTACTGGCGGCTTTTACTCTTGTTAACCATAGCAATGATGTTTCGTTATTGTTCTACTTGTTAAGTGAAAGTTCGAGCGAGAGGATTTGGGAGCAGATCGAACCGTTAAATTTTTGAAAAATGTGGGATCAGGTCGGACAAAATGAATTATGGACAGGCCCGATTATACAGAGTCCCGATTCAATTTAAACTTCCCAAATCCACACCAGTCAGGCAACTTTCCTAGATGTTGTACGCCGCTATTGAAATTGGATTTGAACACAAATTTTTCAAAGAATGATAAAGAACAAAGTTTTTGTGCACAAAGCCAGAACATTGTCATCCCTATTTATCTCGTACTGTCTCGTATTGACAGCAGCAAGTGGAAAAGTTGGTTCGATAATCTTCGAAAAAAGTGTTGGAAAATCATCACCTTCATCCAAACGTCTTAACAAATCAACACATTTCTTATCAAACGCTGCAAAATTGACCACAGAATCACAATAAAGCAGTTGAACAAACTCAGGATACATCTTGCCTGTCCAGGTAGAGAGGCTTAGACTTTTTGACTCGAGTTTTTCGTTGGAACATTCAAATTATTTTTTTCTTATTCATCGTTGAATACTAAATTAAAAACTAATATTAGATGCATTTCGGAGGTAAACACTTGTCCATCATGGGCGTCTGAAAAGAGCAACGAGAAATAAGAGCGAAGCATTTTACACATTTATCTAGCTTTTTATGTTAAGGGCTGAAGCCGTCATTTACATCTCAGTACTATTCGCTGAAAGCCCACGTTTAAAAGTACAGTTCGATTGCTTTTCAATGTTGTATCGTTGCTCAGAAAATTCAATTTTTCTAAATAAGAGGCGAAAAAGTCGTAATTTTCAATTTCTTCAATAGAACTGCTATGAAAAAAAATATTATATTTGGAATCAAGATCAGAAAATGAATGGATTGACGCGTATTTTAAAATTTTTAGTTGTTTTTCATTTTTTGATGAAAATCTCGATGATTTCTGAACGTGAAAATGCGAAAAATATTAAAGTGCTCGGATACGATAGATATACACATTAGGCGATTCATTTTCTGATCGTGATTCCAAATATAATATTTTTTTTTCATAGCAGTTGAGTTTTGTTGAAGAAATTGAAAATTACGAGAAGAATTACGACTTTTTCGCCTCTTATTTAGAAAAATTGAATTTTCTGAGCGAGGAGCTGTATAAATAAATAAAAAGTAAAATAGTGTGGAAACTTCGAATGACGTGCGCCTTACCTACTACATTACATTCTTAAAATTCGAGAAAATGACTTTTTCTTAGCTATGCCTTCGTTTCAATGAACATACGAATGTCTGAGACATTGCGGTCAATTTGTCTAAAATAAGTATAAAAAATAGAATTCTTTCAAATTCGGAAGATAACACTTTAATTCACTCAAGACAAGTTAAGCTGTTGACAACCTATTTATCGTGCCTAACAGTATTTTATGGTAATGTAAATCGGTATCTTTCGATCACTATAAACAGCAAAACTTGATGGTGTTTTGGTGTGCCAATGAGCGATCTATATTTCATCTTGCTCTTTCATACCAAAATTCTCCGCAAGATCTACTCGTAGAACGATTTTTCATGAGCAACTTCTGATTCTGTTTTTTCAATATATAAACTTTGTTCATGCTTAACATATACATGAAAGGATAAAATAATAAATGAGCTCGGTGTGCTTAATTCGCTTTAAAATGAGAGAAATGAACTCGGTTATAATTAAATTCTATTTTATTTATATAAATGAGAGTTTTGAGCTCGGGAATGAATTTATACTCTGAAAAGATACAAATGAGCTCGGTTAATTTTATTTTTGATGGTAAAAAGAGAGAATTGAGCTCGGTAAATAATTTAATAAAATTAATTAAAGATTTTTATTAGTAGCAAAGTATACTGAGTAAGAATAAAATAATTCAGGAACAAAATAAATGCTAGATTACAATAGTTTTTCACTAATATTCAGTCTTTTGTTAAAGCTAATCTAACTTTCTTTAGACGATCTTTTCTTCATCTTATCCCAAGTGGCTATAGAATATTACGATGACCTCACATCATCATTAAGCCCAATGAATGAACACGCAAGAATATTCTTTAAAGTCATATTTATACAATGGAGTTAAATTGGTAAATAGACTACGAATTTCACTACCTCCATACCAAAATTGTAATGGTGATAACTACTGGTCTTCAGAATATGATGTGAGATCATCGTAAAGTTCCACAACCACGTGGGATAAGATGAAGAAAAGATCGTCCAAAGAAAGTTAGATTAGCTTTAACAAAAGACTGAATATTAGTGAAAAACTATTGTAATCTAGCATTTATTTTGTTCCTGAATTATTTTATTCTTACTCAGTATACTTTGCTACTAATAAAAATCTTTAATTAATTTTATTAAATTATTTACCGAGCTCAATTCTCTCTTTTTACCATCAAAAATAAAATTAACCGAGCTCATTTGTATCTTTTCAGAGTATAAATTCATTCCCGAGCTCAAAACTCTCATTTATATAAATAAAATAGAATTTAATTATAACCGAGTTCATTTCTCTCATTTTAAAGCGAATTAAGCACACCGAGCTCATTTATTATTTTATCCTTTCATGTATATGTTAAGCATGAACAAAGTTTATATATTGAAAAAACAGAATCAGAAGTTGCTCATGAAAAATCGTTCTACGAGTAGATCTTGCGGAGAATTTTGGTATGAAAGAGCAAGATGAAATATAGATCGCTCATTGGCACACCAAAACACCATCAAGTTTTGCTGTTTATAGTGATCGAAAGATACCGATTTACATTACCATAAAATACTGTTAGGCACGATAAATAGGTTGTCAACAGCTTAACTTGTCTTGAGTGAATTAAAGTGTTATCTTCCGAATTTGAAAGAATTCTATTTTTTATACTTATTTTAGACAAATTGACCGCAATGTCTCAGACATTCGTATGTTCATTGAAACGAAGGCATAGCTAAGAAAAAGTCATTTTCTCGAATTTTAAGAATGTAATGTAGTAGGTAAGGCGCACGTCATTCGAAGTTTCCACACTATTTTACTTTTTATTTATTTATACAGCTCCTCGCTCAGAAAATTCAATTTTTCTAAATAAGAGGCGAAAAAGTCGTAATTCTTCTCGTAATTTTCAATTTCTTCAACAAAACTCAACTGCTATGAAAAAAAAATATTATATTTGGAATCACGATCAGAAAATGAATCGCCTAATGTGTATATCTATCGTATCCGAGCACTTTAATATTTTTCGCATTTTCACGTTCAGAAATCATCGAGATTTTCATCAAAAAATGAAAAACAACTAAAAATTTTAAAATACGCGTCAATCCATTCATTTTCTGATCTTGATTCCAAATATAATATTTTTTTTCATAGCAGTTCTATTGAAGAAATTGAAAATTACGACTTTTTCGCCTCTTATTTAGAAAAATTGAATTTTCTGAGCAACGATACAACATTGAAAAGCAATCGAACTGTACTTTTAAACGTGGGCTTTCAGCGAATAGTACTGAGATGTAAATGACGGCTTCAGCCCTTAACATAAAAAGCTAGATAAATGTGTAAAATGCTTCGCTCTTATTTCTCGTTGCTCTTTTCAGACGCCCATGATGGACAAGTGTTTACCTCCGAAATGCATCTAATATTAGTTTTTAATTTAGTATTCAACGATGAATAAGAAAAAAATAATTTGAATGTTCCAACGAAAAACTCGAGTCAAAAAGTCTAAGCCTCTCTACCTGGACAGGCAAGATGTATCCTGAGTTTGTTCAACTGCTTTATTGTGATTCTGTGGTCAATTTTGCAGCGTTTGATAAGAAATGTGTTGATTTGTTAAGACGTTTGGATGAAGGTGATGATTTTCCAACACTTTTTTCGAAGATTATCGAACCAACTTTTCCACTTGCTGCTGTCAATACGAGACAGTACGAGATAAATAGGGATGACAATGTTCTGGCTTTGTGCACAAAAACTTTGTTCTTTATCATTCTTTGAAAAATTTGTGTTCAAATCCAATTTCAATAGCGGCGTACAACATCTAGGAAAGTTGCCTGACTGGTGTGGATTTGGGAAGTTTAAATTGAATCGGGACTCTGTATAATCGGGCCTGTCCATAATTCATTTTGTCCGACCTGATCCCACATTTTTCAAAAATTTAACGGTTCGATCTGCTCCCAAATCCTCTCGCTCGAACTTTCACTTAACAAGTAGAACAATAACGAAACATCATTGCTATGGTTAACAAGAGTAAAAGCCGCCAGTAACTAAAAATTTATTGTTTAGTAGATACTAGACGGACGACTCATTGAAAATCCTAAAATCATCCATTTTTCAACCGAGGGAAGAGAAAATGCTTTTAAAAGTGCAATAATTTAGTTCAAAGTTTTGTTACCTTTTGCTTGCTTATTTTGCCTTCTTATTTGAGATAAAAGTAGATCATTTCTTTCAGAAAGGTGAGCTTTTGACACATGAGTATAAAGAACGCATTCGAAAAGTAAAACTAATTTTTATCTCATAAAGGTGGCACTTTCCTTTTATTCTATACTTTTTATTCACGACACACGTGTATACAATCGAGATAACACAGTATTGATACAGAGATGCTCAATGTTTCTTGAATTCATTCCAGTTTTAGATCGGAAACGTTTCGTCAGCAACAATAACAGCATTCAACAACTGTTAAAAGTATCAAACTACTCTTGTTCAAAAACACGACAAACGTTTTATTTGAAAATAAAAACTACCATGGCAAATACTACGTATAAAAACATATTAGGTAATATCATATTTAAAGCACCGAAAGACTGGATGGAAATAAAAACAATTGATATGCACACAGGCGGTGAACCATTACGTGTTATTGTTGATGGATTTCCTTCATTAAAAGGAAGTTCAGTATTGGAATACCGCAGATGTATCAAAGAAAATTACGATTATTTGCGTACTACTTTGATGTTTGAACCACGTGGACATGCAGATATGTACGGATGCATCTTACTGCCTCCAAATGATGATGATGGTGACTTTGGTATAATATTTATGCATAATGAAGGTACATAAAAAACATCGAATTCTTTAATAAACATTGTGTTTCATTTTAATTAAAGGGTACAGTACTATGTGTGGCCATGCCATTATTGCTATTTCCACATTAGCTGCAGAGATGAAATGGATTAATGTAAAAGAAGGTGACAATGTAATAAAAATTGATGCACCTTGTGGACGTATTATTTCTTATGTGAATGTAGAAAACGAGAAAATTACAGATGTTCGTTTTTCTTGTGTACCATCATTTGTAATAGGTTTAGATAGAACAGTTAATGTGGAAGGATTAGGTGAAGTAATTTATGATTTGGCCTATGGTGGTGCATTTTATGCTTATGTGGATATTCGTAAAAATCAATTTCAACTCGATTTAACTAGTGAAAATTACCGTACGATTATTGAAAATGGAATGAAAATTAAACATGCTG